TAATTGGGTAACATACATTTCAGTACACAGAAACAGTCTTATTATTCCTAAATATTACCTTTTATTTCCATTGTTTTATATTATTTATATATGTCTTTTATTAACACCTTTCCTTTCTGAACCATCTTTCTGTCCTTTTGTATATCTTAACATATTAATATATAATTATTATTTCCCCCCACTATTTTCTAACCCTATTTTAACTTCTCCCCCCTTTCATATCACTATAATATTCAAAGACATGTTTTCCATCTATTTTGTTGTTCATATTTCCATAGTTAAATCAATGTTCCATCCTTCATTCTTCCATTTTTCAATATCTCCTTACACGGTTTTAGTATCAATCACAATCATTTATACATTTAAAGTATTTCTATTCATGTTCTTTCCAGTTCTTCAATCCATATAATTCTACTATTAATATACATGCTTAGATTAATATATATTTATATATATTCCCCTAATCAGCCCTTCAGTTCCACTGTTATTCATATTTTATACATATTTAGTAGTATTATCATTCAAAGTCTATTTTTCAGCAAGGGACTGCTTGTATTTCTGAATTTACTTTAATGGAAATTAATGAAAACATTTCTTTGTTGGATGTTACTGTGTTTTCCCCGAAAATAAGACAGGACCTTATATTAATTTTTGCTCCAAAAGACACATCAGAGCTTATTTTCTGGTTAGGTTTTATTTTAGGGGAAACACATTACTAACTGCATCCATCTGGCTGATTATCTTAATTAGGGCTTATTTGGGGGGTTGGGCTTATATTACAAACATCCTGAAAAATCATGCGAGGGCTTATTTCCTGGTTAGGTCTTATTTTGGGGAAACCATGTCCATCTGGATGACAATCGTAACTGGGGCTTATTTTTGGGGTAGGGCTTATATCACAAGCATTCCGTAAAATCTTGCTAGGGCTTATTTTCTGGTTAGGTCCCTTCCAATTCTGTTAGGTCTCCTGATTTCCATACCTGGGGCTTCCATCACACACTCAAGTAAGGCACAGCCTCAGTAACAAAAAAGGGAGGAAGCAACAGGCAGCTGTCTCTTACTTGGGAAGCCCCCTAAAACCACTTTTTAATAACTCTACAATAAGAAGAGTAACTCAACCCACAGCCAGCAATTAAAGTGATCGTTTCTGAATGTGAAAAAATCAATCCCTTTTAGGGGGTATTCTTATTTTGATCTGGTGTGATGTGTTATAAATAGAGAGCACAAGTCAACCATGAGAATAGCCAAAATGTTTAGAAATCTAGCACCAAATTGTTGGAAATGTGATTATGATTCAGGCACGTACTACTATATGTGGTGGCCATACCAAAAAACAAAAGAATATTGGTGGAAAATTCAAAGGTGGCTGATAGAGATAACCAAAGAGGAAATAGAATTCAAACCAGAACTATTTCTTTTGGAAATCATAAACAATAAACATAACAAGGGGGTAATCTACTTAATAATACATATCGTTATGGCAGCAAGAATGGTCTTTGCCCAAAACTGGAAAAACAGGGAAATTCTACAGGAAGAGGAAATAATTAGGAAAATTCTGATTTGTGCTGAAATGGGACAAATTGATGTGGGAATTGAAGAATAAAGACGAATCAGAATATTATAAGATCTGGAATAAATTTTATTGATGGTTGGAACAAAAAAGGAAAGACCCAAGATAAGCAATGACTAAGGTTTAAAGAATGGAGATTACAGTTATGTATGAAATCGTAACAGTGAAAATGTATAAGACAAGAAGAAAGCAACAAGGATGGAAATACAATATCCTTATATTTGTAAATACTGAATGGACCAATTGTAAATAAGCATGGTGGTTATAATATTTCACTTTATATTCCAGTATGTATGGCAAAGACATTGCCAGGACGGTTACACTGCGTCCGATGCTTTAATGTGTGTTTAATAAAAAAGGTTTTTAATTAAAAAGAAAGAGAGAGCACAAATATAAATGTTTCTCCATTAGTCAAGGAATCTGACAACAACCTTTTGATCGAAAGGAGGGGTCACCTTTCACATGACTAACTAACTGACCAGCAACAAAGGCTACGCAACCTCCTTCTTTTCATTCCTTTTTACACAACCACTGCAGATAACAATCAATACCTAACATGGCAGGGAAGCCATTTGAATTATGGAGAGGGGGTGGAGAGAAGAACTAGTATGAAAAAAGAGAATGAACGCAGCACTCTGGCAAATCGTAAACTCAGCTGGCACTGGAACAATTACCAATGTAATACTCCTTCTTGCAGCTAAATGTAACTACAATATTGTTAGATGGAAAGCATCCATCTTCACAACTGCAGACTGGATGCAAAGTGTGAATTGCTCTTTCTAAGGGTACCGCAAATGCCCCCTCTGGCAATGAAGGTAAAAATACACCTTTTTATGATGGATCTGGAAAGAGGAAGAATGAAAAAGCAGAATGAAAAAAGGAAGCGTGCAGGAGCAGCAAATTTATTTATTTATTTGGTTGGTTGGCTGCTTGATTTCTATAACAGCCCATCTCAGCAAATGACTCTGGACTGCTCACAATAATGTGCCTTTCTAAACAGGTTGGCTGGAGTAATGGTCAACTAGACAAGAGTTCCACAAACTTTCCAGCTTTGTGGACCAGCTGGGGAGGAGAGGAGGAGGGAGTAGATAGTTTCACGCAAGCCGCAGGCAAATGTATACATGCAGCTTCATTCACGTGAGTGGCGGGCACACATGTTTTCCCACCAGTGACACAAGTGGGGATATGCACTCGCATGTATCCATCACTTCAGCAGCTTCCTCAGTTCCAAAGTTCTCAAGACCCGATAGGGGGGTTGGTGACCCCTGAACTAGAGTTTACTTATCACTCATTTGAGTACTGTCTCACACTATATATGTGCCTGCCCTTGCAGAGTGTCTGGAAAGAAAGAAAGAAAGAAAGAAAGAAAGNTCTTTTCTTCTTCACCCAACATCTGGAAGCATGTGATCCCCCCTTTCTGTTCAGGAGCTCAAGCCATGTGATCCAGTCCACCATTAAACTATCTTTCCAAGCAGCCTCCATGTCTCCAGTGTCTTTCTCCCCACTTGGAACTGAACCCAGAAGGACATTTCTCCCAACAGCAGTAAACTAAGTTATTTTGCTAAATTCTTCCCGCAAAACCAAAAACGGTGTTTCATGTTAAAAATCGGTGCCAGTCTTCAAATCTAGCATGCATGACATCCTTGTGTAGTGAAATGAAGGACTTGGGGAGACATGGCAGCAGTGCCTCCAATATTGGAGGCTCCCAAGAATGGTTTTTCAAGAGGCAACTCGGATGAGAAGCGAAACGTCCAAAGAAAAACCAGAAAGTCCGGTTGCCTCTTGAAAAAAACACCTTTGGGACAACCATGACATGGATGACTGAGAATCTCCATAGATAATATTTGAGGGGTCAGCAGAAAGAAGAGGGTCAACCTAATCTCCAAAGCACCTGAAGGCAGGTCAAGAAGTAACAGATGGAAACAATGGATGGCTCGGTGATCTGCGGGGCCATTCATCTGACCCACTAGAGCAAGGAGACAAGGAATGTTGTGGATCTCATCCTAAGAAGATACATCTGGCAGGATCCAGAAGAAGGGCCTTTTTCATGGTGGCTCAAATCCAAGAGATGGGAATGATTTCAAATATGCAGATGTTCCAACCTCATTAGCTGAAAGAAAAGATTTGATGACCCCCATATTTTTTAGAGTATAAGATGCTCCGGAGTATAAGACACACCTTAGTTTTTGGGGTGGAAAACAAGAAAAAAAATCTGCCTCTGCCTACCAGCATCCGTCGATATTTGTCTGGCTAACGTCCTTGCAGTCAACAGCCTGGTTAGCTTCAGCACGTTATCGCAGCCTGATTCAGCATGAGCAGCTGATTAGTGGTTGGATCAGCCTTCCGGAATACCGCCAGTCAGCTGTTCCAGGCTGAAGGGATCACCACAGCGTATTGCTGCCTCAGCGTATCACGTTTTTAGCCACCACACGTTACATTTTCAGTCGCTGCACACCATGTTTTTGGCCTCTGCGCATCACATTTTTGGCTTGTTCCAGGCAGCGGCTGCGGCTAATCCCCACCACCTGGAACCGGCCAAAAATGTGACGTAGAGGCCAAAAATGCAACGCACAGAGGCCAAAACCACAACACACGGTGGCAGTGATGTGCTGCAGCAATTCCCAGAGTCTAGAACGGCTCTAAAATGGGGCATGTGGAGGCCGAAAACGCAACACATAGAGGCAAAACACAGCCAAAGGAAGGGGCTGGCGGGTGGATGGGGCTTCAGAACATTCGGTGTATAAGACACATCACAATTTTCAACCACTTTTTTTGGTGGGGGAATGCGTCTTATACTCTGAAAAGTACGGTATATTAAAAAAAATGGGGAATGGA